TTCATGAATTAATTGTTTTTCGACTACCTAACCTACCTAACCTAACCTAACCTAACTTTTTCGGCTACCTAACCAAACCTAACCTATAAAGATAGGTTAGGTTAGGTTAGGTAGGGTTGGTTACGTTCGGTCATATATCTACGTTAATTTTAACTCCAATAAAAAAAAATTGACCTCATACATAATGAAATGGGTAGCTTTATCATTTCATAAGAAAAAAATTAGAAAAAATATATTAATTCAGGAAAACTTGGCTTATTAGGCAATCGGGCCTTGAATAGTAGGCCAAAAAGTGAGTTCTGGCTACTAGGTACGACATATATATATATATATATATATATATATGTCGTACCTAGTAGCCAGAACTCACTTTTTGGCCTACTATTCAAGGCCTGATTTGCCTAATAAGCCAAGTTTTCCTGAATTAATATATTTTTTCTAATTTTTTTCTTATGAAATGATAAAGCTACCCTTTTCATTATGTATGAGGTCACTTTTTTTTTATTGGAGTTAAAATTAACGTAGATATATGACCGAACCTAACCAACCCTACCTAACCTAACCTAACCTCTCTTTATAGGTTAGGTTTGGTTAGGTAGCCGAAAAAGTTAGGTTAGGTTAGGTTAGGTAGGTTAGGTAGTCGAAAAACAATTAATTCATGAAAACTTGGCTTATTAGGCAAATCGGGCCTTGCATAGTAGGCTGAGAAGTGAGTTCTGGCTACTAGGTACGACATATATATATATATATATATATATATATATATATATATATATATATATATATATATATATATATGTCGTACCTAGTAGCCAGAACTCACTTCTCAGCCTACTATACAAGGCCCGATTTGCCTAATAAGCCAAGTTTTCATGAATTAATGTTTTTTCGTCTACCTACCTACCTAACCTAACCTAACCTAGCTTTTTTTTGGCTACCTAACCTAACCTTACCTATAAATATAGGTTAGGTTAGGTTAGGTAGGGTTGGTTAGGTTCAGTCATATATCTACGTTAATTTTATCTCCAATAAAAATAAATTGACCCCATACATAGTGAAAAGGGAAGCTATATCATTTCATAAGAAAAAAATTATAGTAAAAATATATTAATTCAGGAAAACTTGGCTTATTAGGCAAATCGGGCCTTGAATAGTAGGCTGAGAAGTGAGTTCTGGCTATTAGGTACGACATATATATATATATATATATATATATATATATATATATATATATATATATATATATATATATATATATATATATATATATATATATATATATATATATATGTCGTACCTAGTAGCCAGAACGCACTTCTCAGCCTACTATGCAAGGCCCGATTTGCCTAATAAGCCAAGTTTTCATGAATTAATTGTTTTTTGACTACCTAACCTACCTAACCTAACCTAACCTAACTTTTTCGGTTACCTAACCAAACCTAACCTATAAAGATAGGTTAGGTTAGGTTAGGTAGGGTTGGTTAGGTTCGGTCATATATCTACGTTAATTTTAACTCCAATAAAAAACAATTGACCTCATACATAATGAAATGGGTAGCTTTATCATTTCATAAGAAAAAAATTAGAGAAAATATATTAATTCAGGAAAACTTGGCTTATTAGGCAAATCGGGCCTTGCATAGTAGGCCAAGAAGTGCGTTCTGGCTACTAGGTACGACATATATATATATATATATATATATATATATATATATATATATATATATATATATATATATATATATGTCGTACCTAGTAGCCAGAACGCACTTCTCAGCCTACTATGCAAGGCCCGATTTGCCTAATAAGCCAAGTTTTCATGAATTAATTGTTTTTCGACTACCTAACCTACCTAACCTAACCTAACCTAACTTTTTCTGGCTACCTAACCTAACCTTTCCTATAAAAATAGGTTAGGTTAGGTTAGGTAGGGTTGGTTAGGTTCGGTCATATATCTACGTTAATTTTAACTCCAATAAAAAAAAATTGACCTCATACATAATGAAAAGGGTAGCTTTATCATTTCATAAGAAAAAAATTAGAGAAAATATATTAATTCAGGAAAACTTGGCTTATTAGGCAAATCGGGCCTTGCATAGTAGGCTGAGAAGTGAGTTCTGGCTACTAGGTACGACATATATATATATATATATATATATATATATATATATATATATATATATATATATATATATATATATATATATATATGTCGTACCTAGTAGCCAGAACTCACTTCTATGCCTACTACGCAAGGCCCGATTTGCCTAATAAGCCAAGTTTTCATGAATTAATTGTTTTTTCGACTACCTAACCTACCTAACCTAACCTAACCTAACTTTTTCCGCTACCTAACCTAACCTAACCTATAAAGATAGGTTAGGTTAGGTTAGGTAGGGTTGGTTAGGTTCGGTCATATATCCGCGTTAATTTTAACTCCAATAAAAAAAAATTCACCTCATTCGTAATGAAATGGGTAGCTTTATCATTTCATAAGAAAAAAATTAGAGAAAATATATTAATTCAGGAAAACTTTGCTTATTAGGCAAATCGGGCCTTGCATAGTAGGCATAGAAGTGAGTTCTGGCTACTAGGTACGACATATATATATATATATATATATATATATATATATATATATATATATATATATATATATATATATATATACATATATATATATATATATATATATATATATATATATATATATATATATATATATATATATATATATATTTGATAAAGATGTATATATGTAATTCTCCTCCACCGGGTTGGTGGAGAAACAGCTCACTGCTCCAGCAGGGCTCTACACCACGCTCACTGCTCCAGCAGGGCTCTACACCACGCTCACTGCTCCAGCAGGGCTCTACACCACGCTCACTGCTCCAGCAGGGCTCAATGTATTCAACGCTCAACCAACTTGGCGTTCTCAAGTCCTCTCCGACGAAGCCGATCAGATAACGTGAGAGACGAAGACCTCTCTGTCTGTCTGTCTGTCTGTCTGTCTGTCTGTCTGTCTGTCTGTCTGTCTGTCTGTCTGTCTGTCTGTCTGTCTGTCTCTCTCTCTCTCTCTCTCTCTCTCTGTCTCTCTCTCTCTCTCTCTCTCTCTCTCTCTCTCTCTCTCTCTCTCTCCTCTCGTCTCTCTCTCTCTCTCTCTCTCTCTCTCTCTCTCCTCTCTTACTCCGTTAAAAATTCACATCTCAGGAAAGTTTTCATCTCATTGTGGCTGTTTTGTGGAAAAGTTAAGAGCAATGTTGAGAAGTCCTGGTAATCAGGTGCATGGTGAGGGAGTCATGGTAATCAGGTGCATGGTGAGGGAGTCCTGGTAATCAGGTGCATGGTGAGGGAGTCCTGGTAATCAGGTGCATGGTGAGGGAGTCATGGTAATCAGGTGCATGGTGAGGGAGTCATGGTAATCAGGTGCATGGTGAGGGAGTCCTGGTAATCAGGTGTATGCTGAGGGAGTTCTGGTAATCAGGTGCATGGTGAGGGAGTCATAGTAATCAGGTGCATGGTGAGGGAGTCCTGTAATCAGGTGCATGCTGAGGGAGTCCTGGTAATCAGGTGCATGGTGAGGGAGTCATGGTAATCAGGTGCATGGTGAGGGAGTCCTGGTAATCAGGTGCATGGTGAGGGATCCTGGTAATCAGGTGCATGGTGAGGGAGTCATGGTAATCAGGTGCATGGTGAGGGAGTCATGGTAATCAGGTGCATGGTGAGGGAGTCCTGGTAATCAGGTGCATGGTGAGGGAGTCATGGTAATCAGGTGCATGGTGAGGGAGTCATGGTAATCAGGTGCATGGTGAGGGAGTCATGGTAATCAGGTGCATGGTGAGGGAGTCATGGTAATCAGGTGCATGGTGAGGGAGTCCTGGTAATCAGGTGTATGCTGAGGGAGTTCTGGTAATCAGGTGCATGGTGAGGGAGTCCTGGTAATCAGGTGCATGGCGGGGAGTCTTGGTAATCAGGTGCATGACGGGGGAGTCTTGGTAATCAGGTGCATGTGTGAGGAGTCCTGGTAATCAGGTGCATGGCGGGGAGTCTTGGTAATCAGGTGCATGATAATCAGGTAGGATTGCAGAATATTCATGAAAGACCCATACAGGCTACAGAATTGATCACATGATCACAACATACAAGATTCTCAAAGGAATTGAAAGGGAGGTGGAGGCAGACTCCATACACAGTTTCAAATGTAGATATGATAGAGCCCAGTAGGCTCAGGAATCTGTACACCAGTTGATTGACGGTTGAGAGTCGGGTCCAAAGAGCCGAAGGTCAACCCCCGCAAGGTCTCCCTACTACACTCCCATCCCCCAACATAGCCCCCACCCCCCAAAATAACCCCACCCCAACATAGCCCCCACCCCCCAAAATAACCCCACCCCACATAGCCCCACCCTCAACATAACCCCTACCCCAACATAGCCCGTCACCCCTCCAACATAGCCCCCACAACAACCCCACAACATAGCCCCCACCCCTAACATAGCCCCCAAAATCCCACAACATAACCCCCACCCCCCAACATAGCCCGTCACCCTCCAAAATAGCCCCCACAACCCCACAACATAGCCCCCACAACCCCCCAACATAGCCCCCACCCCAACATAGCCCCCAACACACACACCAATAACAGGGCAGCCTTCCAGCCAGGGTTAATGATACCCTCACCCCCTCATTAGTGCTGCCTCTGGTCATTCTCCTTTAATTAAAAGGATCTCACTAATTAGCACATGGCAATTAGGCAATTTAAACTAACTCACCATATATAAAAAAACAAACAAACAAAACAATAACACAAACAAATGAAGCAATAAATCCAAAGGAAATTTAGGAAGGATTGAAGGAAAAAATTACAAAATTGGAGCTCATAATTGTTTATTAAAACTTACAATTAAAAAGGCAGTTTAAATTGTTTTCCAAAGTACAGGTAAAATACGATAAAAAAAATTGCATTATTTATTGTGTTGTATTTATACAACACGTACTAGTCATACTTGACCTGACAAGTATGACTGGAGGACGAGTATGACTGGAGGAAGAGTATGACTGGAGGACGAGTATGACTGGAGGACGAGTATGACTGGAGGAGTACGAGTATGACTGGAGGACGAGTATGACTGGAGGAAGAGTATGACTGGAGGACGAGTATGACTGGAGGACGAGTATGACTGGAGGACGAGTATGACTGGAGGAAGAGTATGACTGGAGGACGAGTATGACTGGAGGACGAGTATGACTGGAGGAAGAGTATGACTGGAGGACGAGTATGACTGGAGGACGAGTATGACTGGAGGAAGAGTATGACTGGAGGACGAGTATGACTGGAGGAAGAGTATGACTGGAGGACGAGTATGACTGGAGGACGAGTATGACTGGAGGAAGAGTATGACTGGAGGACGAGTATGACTGGAGGAAGAGTATGACTGGAGGACGAGTATGACTGGAGGAAGAGTATGACTGGAGAGTATGACTGGAGTATGACTGGAGGAAGAGTATGACTGGAGGACGAGTATGGACTGGAGAAGAGTATGACTGGAGGAAGAGTATGACTGGAGGAAGAGTATGACTGGAGGACGAGTATGACTGGAGGAAGAGTATGACTGGAGGAAGACTGGAGGAAGAGTATGACTGGAGAGTATGACTGGAGGAAGAGTATGACTGGAGGACGAGTATGACTGGAGGACGAGTATGACTGGAGGACGAGTATGACTGGAGGACGAGTATGACTGGAGGAAGAGTATGACTGGAGGACGAGTATGACTGGAGGAAGAGTATGACTGGAGGACGAGTATGACTGGAGGACGAGTATGACTGGAGGACGAGTATGACTGGAGGAAGAGTATGACTGGAGGACGAGTATGACTGGAGGACGAGTATGACTGGAGGAAGAGTATGACTGGAGGACGAGTATGACTGGAGGACGAGTATGACTGGAGGAAGAGTATGACTGGAGGACGAGTATGACTGGAGGACGAGTATGACTGGAGGACGAGTATGACTGGAGGACGAGTATGACTGGAGGAAGAGTATGACTGGAGGAAGAGTATGACTGGAGGAAGAGTATGACTGGAGGACGAGTATGACTGGAGGACGAGTATGACTGGAGGAAGAGTATGACTGGAGGACGAGTATGACTGGAGGAAGAGTATGACTGGTGGACGAGTATGACTGGAGGACGAGTATGACTGGAGGAAGAGTATGACTGGAGGACGAGTATGACTGGAGGAAGAGTATGACTGGAGGAAGAGTATGACTGGAGGAAGAGTATGACTGGAGGACGAGTATGACTGGAGGACGAGTATGACTGGAGGACGAGTATGACTGGAGGAAGAGTATGACTGGAGGACGAGTATGACTGGAGGAAGAGTATGACTGGTGGACGAGTATGACTGGAGGACGAGTATGACTGGAGGAAGAGTATGACTGGAGGACGAGTATGACTGGAGGAAGAGTATGACTGGAGGAAGAGTATGACTGGAGGAAGAGTAGACTGGAGGACGAGTATGACTGGAGGACGAGTATGACTGGAGGACGAGTATGACTGGAGGACGAGTATGACTGGAGGACGAGTATGACTGGAGGACGAGTATGACTGGAGGAAGAGTATGACTGGAGGACGAGTATGACTGGAGGACGAGTATGACTGGAGGACGAGTATGACTGGAGGACGAGTATGACTGGAGGACGAGTATGACTGGAGGACGAGTATGACAGTTGGAGAGGTATGAGGAAGTTAGCCTTAAGCTTGAGGACGACCAGGTGTACCTAAGAGTGTAAGCTTGAGGTGGATAGATGGATAAGTGATAAGCAAAGCTTCGCCCTGTGTGTAATCTTCTATGGCCGCTACCTCTATCGATTTCTCTGGCTGTGTGTACAAACGACATGATCCTTGATAATGTTATCTCTCAAAGATAACAGTGGACAATAATAACCAACGCTTATTCACTAACGCTGGTCAATACAGTGAATGATGAACGCTGATGAATGGAATGACAAGATCATCTGCAAAACGCGGCTGTATCAACATATCAGTCCAGCTCTGGAACCTAATCACCGATCACTGATCATGATTAATGCCACAGTGACTAGCGTAATCAGCCAACTCCCCTTAAAAGCCATTAGAGGCGACCATTACCAGCCACGAGCCCCATTGATCATTTCGGGAGCGTCAAAGGACTCTGCCAGCCGGGAGAATAGACCCATTCACTCGTGAAATATGGCAACCACTCTGTTGGAACTCCAGGAGGAAGTGTACAGTGTCCTCTGGTGGGTCCCCCTGTGGTGGTGGTGTGGTGGGTCCCCTGTGGTGGTGGTGGTGTGGTGGGTCCCCTGTGGTGGTGGTGTGGTGGGTCCCCTGTGGTGGTGGTGTGGTGGGTCCCCTGTGGTGGGTTACCGTCACAATATATATATATATATATATATATAATATTAAGATCTATATATAATATTAGATATATATATATATATATATATATAATATATATATATACATAGATAATACAGGCTCCTGTCCCGACAAGGGAAACTACTAATATTAAAGGCACACGATATAGTGAAATGTGGAGTGGGTCTTCCGTAGAGTGTTCACAGCGGCCCCCTGGGTCACATACATACACACTCCAGTTGCAAACGCACTCCACATACGCACTCCAGTTGCAAACTCTGTGAGCAGGACTACGGCATGATCTCCGCGCACTACATCACCGAATGCCCAGTTATTAGACCTTTCAGAACCGTTGGCATGAGGTACCTGGAGCTTTGCAATTATGTATTCATTCTCGTGTTCTTGAAGATATCCTCACAGTATACCAAAATTTGCCAGTGCAGGCTATTAAACACATGGCTCTGTATGACTAACCATCCTGCGAGATGGGGACTTGTATTACCACTGCTACCTTATTCACTCTGGTGTTGATGATTTCCTCAAAAATGCATCCGGAGTCTGCCAGTGCAGACCGCTTATCACATGCCTCTGTATGACTAACCATCCTGTGTGATGGGGATGTTTTAGCATCACGTAGCTAGCTTTTTGACACACTGTACTCCACTTCATATAGTCTCGGGCCAGCTGCACTAATGCAGATGGACCTCATGTGTTAATATAACAAAAAAAAGCCTGATGCCGCTGTTCACTTGGCAGTAACTAGGTACCCGGGGGTTAGAAGACTGTTGTGGGTTGCATGTTGAGGAAGGTGAGTGGATGGTCTAGGGAATCTGTTCATTTTTGTCCCTTATCTCATCCGGCTCCTACCCCCCTCACTATATATCCGGCTCCCTCTCACCATCATCCCTCTGCTCTCTCTCTCTCTCTCCCCCTCTCTCTCTCTCTCTCTCTCTCTCTCTCTCTCTCTCTCTCTCTCTCTCTCTCTCTCTCTCTCTCTCTCTCTCATACTCACCTGGCTGTACTCACCAGGCTGTACTCACCAGGCTGTACTCACCAGGCTGTACTCACCTGGCTGTACTCACCAGGCTGTACTCACCTGGCTGTACTCACCAGGCTGTACTCACCTGGCTGTACTCACCACGCTGTACTCACCTGGCTGTACTCACCTGGCTGTACTCACCAGGCTGTACTCACCTGGCTGTACTCACCAGGCTGTACTCACCAGGCTGTACTCACCAGGCTGTACTCACCTGGCTGTACTCACCACGCTGTACTCACCACGCTGTACTCACCTGGCTGTACTCACCTGGCTGTACTCACCTGGCTGTACTCACCAGGCTGTACTCACCTGGCTGTACTCACCACGCTGTACTCACCTGGCTGTACTCACCAGGCTGTACTCACCAGGCTGTACTCACCTGGCTGTACTCACCTGGCTGTACTCACCAGGCTGTACTCACCTGGCTGTACTCACCAGGCTGTACTCACCAGGCTGTACTCACCAGGCTGTACTCACCTGGCTGTACTCACCACGCTGTACTCACCTGGCTGTACTCACCACGCTGTACTCACCTGGCTGTACTCACCTGGCTGTACTCACCACGCTGTACTCACCTGGCTGTACTCACCACGCTGTACTCACCAGGCTGTACTCACCAGGCTGTACTCACCTGGCTGTACTCACCACGCTGTACTCACCTGGCTGTACTCACCAGGCTGTACTCACCAGGCTGTACTCACAAGACTGTACTCACCAGGCTGTACTCACCTGGCTGTACTCACCTGGCTGTACTCACCAGGCTGTACTCACCTGGCTATACTCACCTGGCTGTACTCACCAGGCTGTACTCACCTGGCTGTACTCACCTGGCTGTACTCACCTGGCTGTACTCACCAGGCTGTACTCACCAGGCTGTACTCACCAGGCTGTACTCACCAGGCTGTACTCACAAGACTGTACTCACCAGGCTGTACTCACCTGGCTGTACTCACCTGGCTGTACTCACCTGGCTGTACTCACCAGGCTGTACTCACCAGGCTGTACTCACAAGACTGTACTCACCAGGCTGTACTCACCTGGCTGTACTCACCTGGCTGTACTCACCAGGCTGTACTCACCTGGCTATACTCACCTGGCTGTACTCACCAGGCTGTACTCACCTGGCTGTACTCACCTGGCTGTACTCACCAGGCTGTACTTACCTGGCTGTACTCACCAGGCTGTACTCACCTGGCTGTACTCACCAGGCTGAACTCACCAGGCTGTACTCACCAGGCTGTACTCACCAGGCTGTACTCACCTGGCTGTACTCACCAGGCTGTACTCACCAGGCTGTACTCACCTGGCTGTACTCACCTGGCTGTACTCGCCTGGCTGTACTCACCAGGCTGTACTCACCAGGCTGTACTCACCTGGCTGTACTCACCAGGCAGTACTCACCTGGCTGTACTCACCTGGCTGTACTCACCAGGCTGTACTCACCTGGCTGTACTCACCTGGCTGTACTCACCAGGCTGTACTCACCTGGCTGTACTCACCAGGCTGTACTCACCTGGCTGTACTCACCTGGCTGTACTCACCAGGCTGTACTCACCAGGCTGTACTCACCAGGCTGTACTCACCTGGCTGTACTCACCTGGCTGTACTCACCAGGCTGTACTCACCAGGCTGTTCTCACCAGGCTGTACTCACCAGGCTGTACTCACCTGGCTGTACTCACCAGGCTGTACTCACCTGGCTGTACTCACCAGGCTGTACTCACCAGGCTGTACTCATCAGGCTGTACTCACCAGGCTGTACTCACCTGGCTGTACTCACCTGGCTGTACTCACCTGACTGTACTCACCAGGCTGTACTCACCAGGCTGTACTCACCAGGCTGTACTCACCAGGCTGTACTCACCTAGCTGTACTCACCTGGCTGTACTCACCTGGCTGTACTCACCAGGCTGTACTCACCTGTCTGTACTCACCTGGCTGTTCTCACCAGGCTGTACTCACCTGGCTGTACTCACCTGGCTGTACTCACCAGGCTGTACTCACCAGGCTGTACTCACCGGGCTATACTCACCAGGCTGTACTCACCTGGCTGTACTCACCTGGCTGTTCTCACCAGGCTGTACTCACCTGGTTGTACTCACCTGGCTGTACTCACCAGGCTGTACTCACCAGGCTGTTCTCACCTGGCTGTACTCGCCTGGCTGTACTCACCAGGCTGTACTCACCTGGCTGTACTCACCAGGCTGTACTCACCAGGCTGTACTCACCTGGCTGTACTCACCTGGCTGTACTCACCTGGCTGTACTCACCAGGCTGTACTCACCTGGCTGTACTCACCTGGCTGCACTCACCAGGCTGTACTCACCGTACTCACCCAGCTGTACTCACCCAGCTGTACTCACCCAGCTGTACTCACCCAGCTGTACTCACCCAGCTGTACTCACCCAGCTGTACTCACCCAGCTGTACTCACCCAGCTGTACTCACCCAGCTGTACTCACCCAGCTGTACTCACCCAGCTGTACTCACCCAGCTGTACTCACCCAGCTGTACTCACCCAGCTGTACTCACCCAGCTGTACTCACCCAGCTGTACTCACCCAGCTGTACTCACCCAGCTGTACTCACCCAGCTGTACTCACCCAGCTGTACTCACCCAGCTGTACTCACCCAGCTGTACTCACCCAGCTGTACTCACCCAGCTGTACTCACCCAGCTGTACTCACCATGCTGTACTCACCCAGCTGTACTCACCCAGCTGTACTCACCCAGCTGTACTCACCCAGCTGTACTCACCCAGCTGTACTCACCCAGCTGTACTCACCCAGCTGTACTCACCATGCTGTACTCACCCAGCTGTACTCACCCAGCTGTACTCACCCAGCTGTACTCACCCAGCTGTACTCACCCAGCTGTACTCACCCAGCTGTACTCACCCAGCTGTACTCACCCAGCTGTACTCACCATGCTGTACTCACCCAGCTGTACTCACCCAGCTGTACTCACCCAGCTGTACTCACCCAGCTGTACTCACCCAGCTGTACTCACCCAGCTGTACTCACCCAGCTGTACTCACCCAGCTGTACTCACCCAGCTGTACTCACCCAGCTGTACTCACCCAGCTGTACTCACCCAGCTGTACTCACCCAGCTGTACTCACCCAGCTGTACTCACCCAGCTGTACTCACCCAGCTGTACTCACCCAGCTGTACTCACCCAGCTGTACTCACCCAGCTGTACTCACCCAGCTGTACTCACCCAGCTGTACTCACCCAGCTGTACTCACCCAGCTGTACTCACCCAGCTGTACTCACCCAGCTGTACTCACCCAGCTGTACTCACCCAGCTGTACTCACCCAGCTGTACTCACCCAGCTGTACTCACCCAGCTGTACTCACCCAGCTGTACTCACCCAGCTGTACTCACCCAGCTGTACTCACCCAGCTGTACTCACCCAGCTGTACTCACCCAGCTGTACTCACCCAGCTGTACTCACCCAGCTG